TCTTTTTAACGTTGTTTAAATAGTAATTTGATATTCTATAGAATATCAAAGTATGATGTTCAATACTTAGGAAAAACTGTAAGAATTCTTCTGTTTCCGACTTCATCGGAATGCTTTTTGCATTGATGAGAATGCCGAGGAAATACTAGCAATGGCGGATTTCCGACTATGACGGTAACATATATATAATATAATATGATAATAATATATATTAAATTTGTCTGAATAATATTAATATTTTGTAATATATATGGAATTTTGAAAGCTTTTTATTATTCTCTAATTTCATACAATTCCATTGTAATCCGAGAAAAATGTATCTTTAATATTAAAAATGATACCCGCGTATAATGATGAAACACGAGTCGTTTAAAGTCTACTTGTATATATCTATGTATTACCTTGTACGATACCTTGATACGAGCTTTTTTGCAAGTCAAAACAATTAACTTCACTTTTAAAAATTGTATTTCTCATTTTTCCTTCATTTTATTATTAAATCAAACGATCAATACTTATCTCTCTCTCTCTCTCTCTCTCTTCTCATATTTAAAATAAATTTATTCAATAATTATATATATAACAACATCGTTTTGAATGATAACAAAAATTTTTTATTAACGTATTAACAATGAAACAATAAAATACTAGTAATAAACTAAATTAAAAAAAAAGTTAAACTAAAAATTATGTCCAATTCGTTAAAGTGTAATTTTCAAATGACAAAGTTTTGGAAAGAAAAAAAAGTATACGTATGTATCTAAATTCTAGAATGATACTACACGTGATGAGAGAAAAAAATAGAAAGAGAGAGAGAGAGAGAGAGTACTTTGGAGTCGTTTAAAAGTACATTATCAAATATCAAATCACAATAAGATCTCGGGGAAAGTGTCGAAAGTACAATTTAAAAAGGAAAATCAAGTTTTACGTATCTTTCTCTCCACGGGATGATTGAAATTGACGAGAAAAAGTGCAGGAAGAAAATGAAAAAACAAAAAGAAAAAGAAAAGAGAAACAAAAACTAACATAAGGATAAACTTGTTTTTTTTTTTTTTTTTTTTAGATGGTTTACCTTTTTCCATTGGAATAAATCAAATAAAAAGGTGAAATGAAATAAAAGAAAGAAGTATATACTTTAGTAAGAAAAAGTTTAAAACAAAATCACTGTTAAACTTTCTTTTTAACTCTCTCTCTCTCCCTCTCCCTCTCTCTTTCTACTTTACTATTTCTTTCGTTCGCAGCAATATGGTTTAAAATTAACTTCACTCAAATCACTTCCCGTTTCCTGAATTTTCGAATCCCACGAGTTTCCACTCTCGGAAATAAACCATAAACTACTCTCGCGTTGATTAGTTTACATCATAAATCAAAAAAAAAAAAAAAAAAAAAAGAAAAAAAAAGAGAGAGAAGAAGACGAGGAGGGGCGGTGGTGGTGGTGGGGTGATCTGTGTGTGGAGGGGGAAATTACATCCTCGAAAAAATAAAAAAAAATCGATGATAAATCATTCATTTCAAACATGATTAGATCTGTACCCAATGGATCAAATGTGATAACGACGGTTTCCTCTTTAACTATTTAATCTCATTCGAGCTTGCACGTTAACGTAACCTTCTCAGTTATCTTCATAGATGATGAATAATGAAGGAACGAACTAGAGGATAAATGAAACAACCAGTGGAAGTGGAAACGGGAGGGAGAAGGGCTTGAGAGGTAGAAGAGGGAAAGGAATATATAAATATAAAAGTATGTGTGTATGTGTATGAGTAAAAAGTAGAAAAAAAAAATACCGGTTCAAACAAAATATAAATAATAATAAAACAAATTCTCATGAAGAAGATGGGGATGTAAATGCAATGGTGTAAAAAAAAAAATAATTAAATTACACTTATTTTCGCGCATAAAAACAACAACAACAAAAAGAAATAGCATTCTACAATAGGTGTGCGCGCGCGTATGTGTGTGTGTGTGTTTTTTTTTAGTATAATATACAAATAGAAATAGAGAAAGAGAATAAAGATAATGCAAGTGTATATTTTTTCGTTTTATTCTCACGCAGGGGGGAATAAAGGAAGATATATCTCATCGACGTGTTCAACATATTCCCGGTACAATTTCGCAGACAATTACGAAGGGAGGAGGAATAATAGTTGAAACGTTTTAGTATTATTTATTATGTTTACCAGCAGTAATAGAAAATTCGCGTTGGTGCGAATGAGGTGAGATAAAGAAAAGAAGAAATTCTACATAAGAACGAAAAAAGGAAATAGGGGAGGATGTTGGATGAGGAGGAGGGGGTGGTGAGGGGAGGAGAGGGACCAGGGGACAGGGTGGAGTAGATCATTAACGAGACAATCGTGAAAGGAATTCACGGGGTAATAGAAAAAAAAGAAAAAAGAAAAATAAAAAGAAGAAGAGAGGAAATCGTTTAACTGAACAACATCCTGTGAAAAAAAAAAAAAATAAAAAAAAGGGAAGAGACTAATTAATATAACAATGTAAATCCGTCGTGTTCGCAATTTAATTCGATTTGATCGATGATAATAATTATCGATTTATTTGATCACGCGAACATTATTTATAATAATGATCGGCAATCGAAAGGGAATATAGTTTTAGTTTAGTTTCATTTGCGATAACATCGTGTGCACCATTACAATGAATTATCTGTACGCGAGGAAATAGCGAAATTTATTATTATTAATTTTGACATAAAGTTAAACTCGCTTTAAATACCGGGTAACAATTTCCGACGATTAATTATATCAAAGGGAAGATAATATAACGAAGAAGAAAATCCAATATGAATAATATTGGTCAAGTAAACGAATTCGTTGCAAATAAATAACACACACACACACAAAGCACGTTATAAATATATTATTTTTTTAAATTTATATATTGTATGACACGAGTATATACGATTATGTTTGTATTATACGATTATGTTTGACAAACTCTTCTCATTTAAAAAATATAATTTTATATAGAAAACATTAATTCGTTCGACGCCTGTGCGTATGCAACCATTTAAGCGAGCGCGTATCAACGTTTGAATACATTTAGGTGCTTTTAATAAATTCACCTTTGACGTTAACTTTTATTCATTTTCATTTTCAATCACAATTATAAATATTTTACTTTAATAATTATAAATTAATATCATTCTATATATAAAAACAATTATTATTATTATTATAAATGAAGAAAATAATAATAGATTCAGGAGGATTAAAAAATAAACTAAAATAGAAAATTGAAAAAGATTTTGGGAACGTTGGAAACAAACGTACGTCGACAGTTCCAATAATTACAATTCCTGTTACAAACGAGTCAATCACGATTGAAAAGCTCGTTATGACCTGGCACCCTTGGTATGGTTCATCAATCATTTCCTTTAACACTCACCCCCAACCCACCTCTCCGAACCCTACTACCCATCATCTATTTCTCCTACACTCTCTTCTTATGACCTTTCAACTCTGAGTATTCCTTCGAAAATGAAATAATACTATACTATACGATGAGTTATCTTTTTATCGATACGTTAAAAATGAAACTTCTCGTAAGGTTTAGTTTTTCAAATTAAAAGTTAATAGAAACTAGTATCAAGTATTGTTTGGCACACACATACCCACACACACATTTGAAGAAAAAAAATAATAATAATTAATTATAATTAAATTGTTCGAATATAAAATCCATGTAGAAATTTTTCCATTTTTTTTTTGTTCTTTTAACGATAGAATAAACGATAACTTCTAAGCTTCTATTCTATGGGGATTTAGAATATACATATATATACATAATATAATTCCACGAACCAAAGGATAACGCTTGATAGAATATTAGTGAAGGATTAATATCTGTTTGAGTTCGGATTATGATTGTTAATTATAGAATATGCTTTTAAGATACAATATACGTAGATGGTGTGTTAATATTAAACAATGTTAGACAACGTAATTTCCTTGGAAAAAAAAAAAATGAAGATAATCAGATAAAATCGCTTAGAGAAATATTTCTTTCGTTATTTTTTATGGTATAAAAAAAAAAGAAATATACGTTTAAGTAGAAATAAAACGTGGATTTAATTTAACGTCTTCAAAATTTTGTCCGAGAAAAGAAAAGAAAAAAAAAAAAAAAAAAAAAGGAAAGAAACGTTTTTATCATTTTGATTTTCTCTATTTTTCTATATTTTATATAAAAGATTTATTTAATGCATACACACACACACACAAAATATACATGATTAATAAAAAGAAAATATAATATATATATAAATGTAAATGTGTATTAGTGAATTTAAAATAATATAATTAATAGCTTTTTATATATAATATTCGCGTTCTAATATTTAAATAATTATTCATTATTCTCTTTATATTATTTAATATTTGTGATAATGTTTAAATATTAAAAATACAAATTTGTTATAATCATTCTCTCGTGTGATAATTATTAACGCGCATTTATACGGATTGTATAAATTCAATCCGCGTTAGATGAATATTGTATAAAATATCCTATGTCAAAGAAAAAAATTGTCAATATTATAATAATATATTGAAGAAAAATAGTATAATTGAACGAACGTAAAAGGTAATAATCATTCAATAGTTATCACCCGCGAATAAACACATATACGTCGAGATGCAAATCCAATATACTCTGACAAAGTGTAATCCAGTTATAAATCATCAAAGCTTCTCGACGTTTCAATCCTCTTATATATCAAACCCATAAATAAACTAAAAATCATAATAATATTCGGTATCAAAGAAAAGATTTTTAATAAAAAATTTCAAAAATGAATAATTAATTTTACACACAAATATTATATTAAATTTTGGAACGTGTACGCGGTATAACGCATACATATTAAACGCGCACAAATTATTAACGCGTACGCGTAAGAAAATATGAATTTTTTTTTTTTTATCTTTAATTAAAGTACATGCAATTAACAAATTGTTATGAATTTTTTTTTTATTTTTTTCAGGAGGCTTTGATAAAAAAATTAGGACCAAACGCTTACGCATTCACCATGAAACTGGCACCCGTGGCACCGCCATCGGTGCAATTGGTACCTGCTAAAGAATATACCGGTGCACCCATTGGAACGAGTTACGATATCAGAATTTACATGGGTGAGTAAAACGACAAGAAAAAAAAAATAAACTAACAAATTGAAAAAAAAAAAACAAACAAACTAACACAAAATAAAAAAAACAGAGGAACTCCGTTGTTTTTTTTTTCTACGTATTTTTTTCTATGCTTTTATTTGTGTTCCTTTTACAAATAAAATTATTGCGGGCAAAATAAATTATGCGCATAAAAAAAAAAAAAAGAAAAGAAATGTAAATACATTACATTCGTATTATTTATTTTATTGATTATTGTATAAGCTGATCGACCAGAAGATAAGTTGCACGAAAAATCAACCGTTAGAATGGGGATTAGAGTGATTCAACGAACTACGAAACCACCATTACCATGTCTTACGATGTACAGTGTTCCTGCATTAAAAATAATTCCAAGGATTCCAACTTGCAAAATAAGAAGTTCCTTTTCAACCAATGAAATTCTCGATGAAGTTGGTACGTTTTATATAATATATATCCTATGATTTATTCAATATATTTTGATTTAAAAAATATAACGAAAGATTTATTGGGGGATATGATACTTTGTTGTCATAGAAGATATACCAAGAGCTGCCATCGAAAAACCATTTTTATTGAGCGATGGACATGTTGGTTTAGAGGCAAGATTGGATCGTGCAATTTATACTCATGATGATTCCATAACCGTCCACGTCAATGTTAATAACAATAGCAGCAAATCTGTCAGGCGGATCAAGGTATATAAAGATCATTTTAAAAATACTATATTGAATTTTTGGTTTCTTTTTTTTTCTTTATTTTGATCAAATTAATATACTTTGGTGGATTGAAAAGTAATGAGTCTAACGTAACTTACTCTTATTTTTTTAACACGTTTTCAAAACTTAGAAAAAAAAAACCCATTACAACACACAGATCGTAAACTTTTTATTAATTAATATTCATTAAATTATTTATATTATTTATAATATTTTAATCATTATACTCTATAGAATTTATATTTACATAATTTACGATCGAAAAATAACATATCTGATGTTCTCTCGTTATTTTTGTTCATTTATTTTGCAGAAAATAATAATGTTTAATTTTACATGATAATCAAAATATTGAAATAATTTCAAATTAATTATGTAAAATTTTTCTGAACAATCTATCAACGATTTAAACGAAAATTTTCTTCTTTCTTTTTGTCTCTCTCTCTCAATATTGTTTATTTTATTGAATAATTTAAAGCTTTTACGTTCAATATCCATTCCCATGGATTTAAATTTAAATGCAAATACGTATGAAATAGGAATGAATTTAACGACAAAGACCAATTGATAATAACGCGTCGAAATATAGAAATCAATAATTTATTATTCTTTTATATGAATGTATATATATATATGCGTTTGTGCGTATGCATGTGCTTTCTCTTTCTCCAATTTCAATTTGACCGAGCTTTATAATAATCGTGAAATTGTTGAATGTAATGTTACGCAAAAATATTTCTGTCGCGATTATAATGTAAAAAAATAAATATCAAGGGATTTCTCTCTCTCTCTCTTTCTCTTTGATAAAAATATATATCGGGAAAGAAAATATAAATAAAAAAATAACAAAGTAATCCGCGCTTTATCGTCAAATATTTTTTATCAATTTCATGTTGGACGTGCTTCGTCATTTTTTTATTAAACATTTCTCCGACATATTTTTTATTTATTTTTTTATATATATTGCAATAATATCAACATAAAAAAAAAACAAAAAGAATCTAATAATAGCACATACATTCCTGATTGATCTTTTGAACATTTTTATTCGTTTGAAATTAAACATTGAAAATGATAACAATAATATAGTATGAAGTTATGATTGTAGTAGGATGATTAGGTAAACATGAAATAAGCTCAGAATATATGGTGTCAAAGTAAGCGCGGAGAATAATCGAATATACGTGATTAGATACGAATATGCGAGTACACGATTATGTAAATAATAAATTATATATTTTTGATTATTCAAATTGTTATAGAGATATTTCAATATTAACGAGTATAAATGTCTCTATAAATATATTCTTAATATATAAAATATATTTTTTAAATTTATTTTAAATTATATATCACAGTTCTCTCAATGTTTCTCAAAGTTTTCCACTTTATCGGAGTAAATATTTTCACGTTCCCCTATGTATATATTATCTATCTTATTTTTCACTATCATAAATTCATAAATATATAATACTATACGCGTAGTATTGTCAAACTGATTTTAAATTAATTTTCGATCGATGACGCGTACAAGAATTTGTTAATTTTATTCCAATTTTTTGGTGCTATCCATAAATATGCTTGCGATCAAACTTAAAGAAGATATCTCAGATATATTTTCTATAAATTATATATTATACACACATGAATATTTTAATATATATATATATATCTTGGAGTATGATACGACGTTAACAAATCTTCTCGTCCTGACAAATATATTAAAAACAAAGTAATATGATATTCTAAGAAGAAAATGGTTATACTCTATTCTCGGGCACATATAAATTGAAAACTAAAAGGCAAGGATAAATTAAACGTCATGGCAAATCGTATTTTCTGAATATCCTATTTGTATAATGCTCACTAAACTACCCTGAAGGACATTAAAAGCCAAATCTAATTTCGTCGGAAACTAGAAAACAAAGCACAACGAATTAAACGTAATTTAACATAGAAATTCTCATAATTAGAATGTTAAACGAGTATCGTTACAACGATTACCATGTTTCTCTTCAAATAAATGCATTAAGATCCACTTTGTCGTAATAATTTCTCTACTATCTCTTACAATTGTTTAAAAAAAAAAAATCAGAAGTCCCTCGCAGAATTTCAAACGGAGACTCTATTATTTACAATTACGATTACAATTAATTACACCGGGTATACTTTTCAATAAAATAAAATAAAATATAAATAAATAAATAAATAAAAATAAATTTAAATTGTTTTGAAAATTATCAAAAAATAAATACTTCTATATAAATTTATTAACCCTAATAATATATTAAAATCAATTATAACGATTAAAACAAAATCAATAAAAATGATCTAACGTTCATTAAATAATAATCCCTGTGTGCGACGAATGATTTGTAATTTAATATATTTTGAAAGAGAAATTTTATATTAAAAAAGAAAAAGAAAAAGCAAATAAGTAAAAAGAAAGTATGAAAAAAAAAAAAAAGAAGAACTTTACTCGCAAGTATTTTTGCGTTACTTTGGTAAGACTTATGGTAGGGATTAAGTGTGCTATTTTTTGGCGACCCACACCCTTCGCTATTCTTTTTATACGTCCCTCACGGCCGATACTATTATGGTCGACCTTTTCTACTACAAGGAAAGAGAAAAAAAAAAAAAGAAGAATAAAGAAAAAAAAAAAAGAAAAATAAGAAGACATCACCTGTTCGTCCCTTCCGTCTCAATTACTTGCAAAAAATAAATCCATAATCGAAACCGAGACCAATTTTATTAAAAACGTGAAATGAAMAAAAAAAAAAAAAATAGTAAAGTATTAAATCAAATTTTAATAGTACGAACAGGAGGATGGGATCCCATACATGATCAGACATTTTTTAATAACAGAATCAATAAACAAAAGATGACACAAATATACAAATAATACCGATGTTTAGAAAATCGACACACGTCTAGTATACCTTTTCCCTGTTAATCAAAAACAGTAGTAGCCTTTGTTTGAAAAAGAGAATGCGTCGACGTGAACAAACGTGACTATGAAACGTGATCAGTTCTTAGTTTGTTATTGTTGTTGTTGTTATTGTTATTGTTATTATTGTTGTTGCTCTAACTGGTACTGTCCGTAGCAGAAAGAGAATAAAATTTAAACGACATTTATCTTTCGATGAGAAAATTCATTTTTAAAATAATATTGCGAAAGCCTAGTTTAAATACATTCACACACACATACAAATATTAATAATATAACAGTATATATATATATATATTTCTCTCTCTATCTTTCTATTTCTTCCTCCTTCTCCGTCTTTTACACATAAAGCTTTATGTATAGATTAATTTATTCATTTAATATATATCGCGTATTGTATTTCCTATAGGAAAATTCATATTTCTAAGGATATTTAAAGAGAAAGAGACAGACAGAAATAGAAAGAGGAGGAGAAGACAGAGGGAAAGTATTAAATCAGTTAAACGTGAAAATACTTCATTTAATTAAATTTCAAACTAATAGAGAGAGAGAAAGAGAAAATATGATGCATTAATGTTACTGATATCTATGTAAATGGTTAGTTAAATGTTCGTTATTTCTATACGTATATATAGAAACGTAGGAATATAATTGTACAATAATATTCCTACAGTTATTTATAGATTTGTATTTGCCAAGAATATCCGTACGAATTAACAGAACAACACGTTTCGTAATTGTATATATGTGTACGTGTATATACGAAATATTTATTAAACGTTTGAATCTATTATTATTCTGATGAATTTACAAACTTCAAAAATACACTATCATCTAAGAAAACTTTTTATTATACTATATATATCTCTCTCTTCATTTATTTTTTAATTGTTTTTCTTTGTGTGTCTAGGTTTTCGTCGTTCAACATGTCGACGTGTGTATGTTCAGCAATGGCAAATTCAAAAACGTTGTAGCTCTTGTATCTTCTAAAGAGGGTTGTCCTATAGGACCAGGGTCCAGTTTGAAAAAATCTTACACCTTGAAACCTATCAAAGGATCCAGTAAGAATTGGATTGCTTTGGAAGATAGTAATAATAAGATTGGTGCTACTTTAGCTTCTACGATCGTTTGTCCTGGAAACGGTCCAGAAGATAGAAATGTTTTTGCTATTTACGTATCATATTACGTTAAGGTATTTCACAAGAAGTTTATCTCTCGTTTTTATTTATGTAAATTTATATGTAAATTAATGGGATATATTTTTGATTGTTTCATTAAAATTCTTTTTAAAGGTGAAACTGATAATATCAACAATAGGCGGTGATGTTTCCTTAAAATTACCATTTACTTTAACTCATACCAATACTGATCCAGAAATCGTTGGGTATCCATCACCGATTAGAGAATTTTCTAAATCTTTGAGAAAGATGGAAGATATTAACGAACATCCGGATAAATATGATTGTAATCAAACGAAAAACAAGGAATCGATATTGAAGACTATAGAGAAGACAAATAAACAATCAAGAATTGTCGACGTTGATCTAATAGAACAATGCGAAGAGGAGGACAGTACCTGAGAGCTGGTTAAAACTGACGAGATGTCTACTCGACAGTCGCAGAAAGATAATAACGATGTTAAAAATTATCAATTGAAGAATTCTAATGAGAAAGACTGTAAGTTAGGTTTTAGTATACAAAGGGCATGGTGCTGTTTCAGAAGAGCCTCTTAGTGCAACTGGAATTTTGAAATAACATTTAATATTATTGATAGAAATCAAAATATGTGAAGTGCATATTGAATGCTTGCCATATTGGAAATGAATCGAGAAAATAGATATTTTTTAAAAATACATTTCCATGCTCCAGAGAAAGGTTCCTTCATTCATCGTCATTTTATTGACTGATTTTAAATTATCAATTTGCAGTACAAAAAATCGGGAGCTTTCTTTAATCTTTTAACATTCTTAAGCTAATGATATATATATATATATATATATATGTATATATCGTATATGTATTTCGATTTGATATATACAAAGCTGGCAATATTTTGAAAAACAGAAGAGTCTTACGTTCAAATAAAAAAAAGCTTCGTGGTAATAATTATTGAGATTTACTACGATCAAAAAATATGTCAATTGAATAAAAATACAAAGAGTAGTTATTCTATAATGATAGAATGATGAATATAAGTATGTGTAAAAGAAAATATGGAAGGATATATCGAACTTATCTATTGATGGGACTTCCAAATATTTATTACATTCGTATTATTATGTAAATTTTTGAAAACTAATTAAATATATCAACTGCCAGTCTAAATATGTTGGAATTTAAAGTTACTATGTTTTTTCAAGGTACTATTGTTGCAGGAAAAATAAAAAAAAAAATAAACAGGAAATAATATGGACATTCCATCAAAACTATTTCTTAAAAATAAAAAAAAATAAATAATAATAATAATAACAAAAATCAACAAAAGAGATATAGAATTCCGCAAGCATATTTTTCTTAAAACTGATATACGTAGAAATTATTTTGTAGACTTTTCACAAATAACGTTTTCAAATGCGTCGGCATGTTTTATATATGTGTATAAAAAATATATTATTGAAAAAAGAACAAAAAAAAAATCCAGTAGTGTTACAGCAAATCTTTTATTCTTATTAATTGTCATAAATTATAAATTCATAAATCTATGTATAGATTATGTTT